TTTTTTTTTTGAGACTACAAGAAGACTAGAAGCTGAAAACAGCTGATGGCTAGATTTGAGACAAGCCTCTGGCAGGACCGTATCACTGTAAAACAAGAGGCCAGACAATGACAAGTGAACCCTGGAAGAACTGTGACAATGGCAACCACATGCCAACAACGGCAGCAGCCATAGCTGGCACTCAGTAAGTCCTGTGCTGAAGGCTCCACATGCACTGTTCACTCTCTCCTGACACTGACTTGCGTATAACCTCATTTTACAAAATGACGAAACTTGGGTTTAGAGAAATTAAGTAACTCGCCTGAGGACAGATGGTTGCCAAGTATCAGAAGTAGGATTTGAACCACGGCAAACCTCATTTCAGCTCATCCTAGAAACAACAAAAGACAAAGAAATAACTGCCAAGACTGTGGGGATGGCACAGAGCAAAAAGCAGACAAAATGGTTGGAAAGATGGCTCAGCAGTTAAGGGCATAGCCTGCTCTTCCAGGGAACACGTGTTACATTCCCAGAATCTACACAGCAGCCCCTAAACCACCTATAACTATAGTCCCAGGGGACCTGATGCCCTCTTCTGGCCCCCTCAGGCATTGCATGCACACTGCACATGCATATGCATACACGCAAAACACACATACACATACTAAATTTTTAAGAAAAATGTGTTATTAAAAATACGGTTATTAATTTTTATTATTAATCCGTGGATTATTATGGCAGTTACTATTTTACCCACTATCATATCATATCATATCATATCATATCATATCATATCATAACATGTATCAATAAAAGGCACAGACACCTATTAGATTTTTAACATGTCTTAAACTCTGGAGCTGGGCAGATATAAATCCCCTAGACTACCCTGTTACCTCCCAACCCCACATCACATGTCATTTGCTCTAATGATTCCTATCTGGCCTACTTCCCATCCACCATTCTCATAATTACTTGTACATGTTTTTCATCTGAGCCGCTTCTATCACTGATCCTCAGAGTAAACTCCCAGCCGTGTCTCTTCTAAGTCATGGTCTCTGCTTCTTTCTCTCCTCTTTTCTCTCTCTCTCTCTCTCTCTCTTTCATCATCTCCTCTTCCCCTCCCACAATGCTGTGTCCTTCAACTCTGCAAACCTTAGCTCCACCTACCTCACTTCTGCCCTGCCCAGGTGTGTAGGCAATTTTAGCCAATCAAGGATTATTTGGAGGCAAGGTTATAAAGCATCACTTTGTAACCTCCACCTGGGGGCTCTGCTCTTAGAACAGTAAGAATCTCAGGGTGGGGCAATTCATTAAATATAAAACACCAGACCATGCTGTAACAAAAATGAAATTTTTACACTTTCTGCCTAAGCTACTTATAGCTAAAAGTTATCCTAGAAACACAATCCATGAACCTGCATTCCAACACCAGACACACTGCTGGGAGTGCCCTTTGAATTCCTGAGGCTGCCTTAGCTCCACAAAGGACCAAAGCTGTCAGCCTCCTAGACTTACAGAAAAGGTCAAGCCAGGTAACTTAGAAAATATGTCCAGAATAGTACCTACAATACATTAGGCATTCCTAAAATGACACAAATGGCCTCACTTGGCTTTCTTGCTTTAACAAACTAGAAAACAAGTGGAATTTACAATATGTGGAATTATTGCTCATCAGGAAATTTTCATTCTTATGTTTAATCTACATAAAGATTTGTTACATCCATAGATATGTTTGTTATATAGTTAAGTGTATTAATTTTAGCACCAACATTAAAAATGTGTATGCCCAAAAATCTTAATAAACGTTTGGCATTTTAGAAGGCAATGTGACAGTACCTATAAAAATATAAATGTGTGGTTACTAAAAGCAGCAAACATGTATACAAAAGAGAAAGCTGTAATCTCCATACTCCAGGCAAGTCCCACTCACTAAAGATGACACCTAGTAATTTTATACATACACACACATACACCACCTCTTAAAACTCTTCTATATACAAATATAGTTCACTATACATCTAAATACTTTTTAAAACCTTATTTATCTTAAAATATCTTCCCAAGATAGCCCATATACACTATTTTAAGCCATCATACAAGATCATAAATCAACTAATAATCCCAACAATGGAGCAACTTATCTTGTAGGAATCCCTGATAGTCTAAAACTCATGAGAGAATGTAAGTCTAGTGTTGATACAACTGGTGAGCTGTTGTCATCAGTTAGGCCAGACTAACGGCCAAAGCTGTTTAACTCCACAGTATCTCATGGAAACGATATTTTAACCACCCCAACCACTACTCCAAGATCTGTTTTACTTCATACCTAACCACTTCCTACAATTATAGTTTTTAAGGGGTGTTTTCACCTATGTGTTCCCCTCTGCTACTTCTGCCTCCTGAACAAAACCTGGGCTTCTCCACATGGCCCTCTTAGTGTCTGAATGACAATCTCTCCTTTAAAGGGTTAAAGGACTAAAACAAATCCCAGGCATATTTGCATCCAAGATAAACAATGATTTAGGCGTTAGGGTGTGGACCAAAACATTCTTTATAACAATAAGAACAGAAAGCAGTAGAGACAGGCTTAAAAGGTGTGTGTTTTTTTTTTTTTTAAGCTACGTGTTAATGGTTTTAAGACCTAAGTGAAAATAAGAAAGTTATAAAGTAATACACTTATATTTCATCATTTCTTATTCATATGGGCATAGATGTTGGTTATAGAATAGTATGTACCAAATTGTTGATGGGATTACCTCTCATAAGGAAAGTAGGAAAGAAAGAACATACAAAACCTTGACTTTAATTCTTCATACTCTACACTGAGACACCTACAAGTATACATAGTTTTCTACATTAAGATAAAGGCTGCATCCATCACGTACATAACACTATCAGTAATTGAGGAATTTTAAATAATATGCACATATCTTCTCATACTTCTGTGGAAGTCTAGGCACAGCTGAGCTCCGTCCTCTGCTTGTGACCTCGTAAGGCTTCAGCCATGATTTGCTGAAAGCTGTTTTCATTTGGATACTCAACTACAGAAAGATCCACTTCCCTGTTCCCATGACCATTGACACTCGGTTTCCTGTGGCTACATGAATCATGGAAGGTGCTTCTTCACAGTCAACAAAGAGCATGACAGCGAGACTCTAGACAAGATGATGCTGACAACCCAAGGAGGGACATCACCATTGACGTACTCTATTGCTTAGAAACAAGTCAGGCCCTGCCCATACCCAAGGGAGGAAAATTATACACAGGTATCAGGAATCAGGTTCTGGGGGCTACCTTAAACATAACCCATAATAAAAAAAAAAAGTGATTACAGACCTGGATGCCTATGATCTCCTTAGAAACATTTTATAAAATCATAGCCAACTAAGGTCAAATATAACTACAGTAATTCTTTGTCAAGAAAAAGCCAGATACTGAAGACAAAAATGCAATACCAGAATTTTAATAAAATAGTAATGCAATTCAGATCAGTGGGTCTTCTAAAATAAAACATGGGTAATAACAGAACATAAACCAAGGATTTTGAGAAACAGCAAGCAAAGGAGAATCTCAGGAGTGACTAGAACTGGAGTTTTGGGTGTAAAATGCTAAATATACTAATGCATGGTGTATATTTGAGAGACAAAAAGAAGCATGATAATAAGAGCTAGAATACGGCCTCATAATCCTTCTAGGGAGTGCGAAATGAGGCTGCTACCAGCCTACAAAAGAATAAAGGTAAAGGAAAGGTGTCATCTCTCCTGAATAGGGATCCTAACAAAAAGGCTTCAAAAGAACTCTGCATCTTTAATAATATAAAAAGGCTAGGGCACAAACAGCATCATCTAAAATGCCATTAGAAATGCTTCACATACAAAAAGGTCTAAGTAAAGCAGGGTTTTATAAAGTGATCAAAAAAGAAACACTAAGGGGGAAAATCTTTTAAGATTAAAGAGGTTTTTCAAAGGACAAGTTGAAGTGGCTGTAAAATTTATGAGGCAGCATTAAACTTCAGTTCTAAGTAACAATAAATTATTCACTATAAAAACATACATGTGTCAAATATTATAAGCCTCTTAAACTTTTTAAAACAATTTCTTACAGAAGTTATTAGATGTAGTAGGTCAACATTAACAGATACCAACTTCTTCGTTAGCACAGTATGACCACTTGGAGAAAAGGAGCAAGCTTAGAGAGAAGAGTGAAAGCGGCCTTTGTGGACTGCTCAGCTGAAGCACACATGGAGTCGGCCTTCAAACCAATCATTGTAACTTTAGCTAAAATAAATGTTAGTGTTATTTTTTAAATGTCTCCATGTGTGTAAAATGACAAATATTTAAGTAATACACACATGGATTAAAGCTTAAATAAAATTTAAATTTTGAAATAAATCAAACCATAGGTATTAAAGGAGTATGAAATGCCCTGAGGAGTGCTTTCTGACCCTAACTGAGCATCAGCCCCACGACACCGAGCTGGACAGAAGGACCTTCAGCATGTCCATTTCGGCTCCTTCAGGGCTGTGTCTCGCGGTGTGTACAGGCATCTCTATAGTGTGAGGCCATGTTTCCTCCATCACTTTTAAAATCTATCCTCCCCTCTACATTCCCCAGAAGTTCAATTTTAAAGTTCTTTTGAAGTATTACTTCTGCTACAGTACGCCTACCTTAGAAGGTCTCTGTGCATAGTAAATTAAATATGTAGCAGTGACTAATAATCTTCATTCAAGCACACATGTAACTCAACTGAATATAAAGACATGAAATTTCTAACGTGCTTCCACCTGCTATGAGAAACTGAAAAGAAATCACAAGTATAAAAGACACCATTCCTAACTCTTGAAGTTGGAATCTTAACACAAAACGAGAATTGGATATTTGCAAATGCAATGAGTGCAACAGAGACCCATGGGGCACTACAGGAAGTGGCAGGGTCACTAGGAGCAAGGCTGTGAGTGGAGGACGGATAGGACTGATGAGAGCCATCAGAGAGCCAGCTTTTCATTTAGCATACGACAGCTAATGCCTGTAATCAAGTACCTTTTCCTATTAAACTTCATTTAATCAGATAAGGTGATGGTTAGTTTTCACTGTGAGGTGGATGAGACTTGGACCCACTCAGGAGATACGCTTGCGAGCATATCTGTAAGGTATTTCCAGAGAGGCTTAACTGAGGGAGAAAGATGCACCTCGATGTAGGCAGGCCATCTCAGCACTGCGGTGCTGCACTGAGGGGAGAGGGGGAGAGCAGAAAACCAGCTGGGCACCAGCGATCATCTTCCCCGGCTTCTTGACTGCAGACACAATGTGAGCAGACACGATGTGAGCAGACACCACACTCCTGCTAGCATGCCTTCGCTGAGACTGAACTAAAACAAGCCCCTCCCTCTTTAAATTGCTTTTATCAAATATTTTGTCCCAGCAATGAAAAAATGGTAGCTAGCACAGTGGACAAAAAGATAAATTATTTCTTAATGTGTGGATTTTATTATGTTTTCATTTTCTAGAAAAGTGACTGGGTGACAAGTAAATATTACTTCCCCTGGGGCTGGAGGCATAGTTCGGCAGTTGAGAGCTCCTGCTGCTCTTTCAGGACCCTACTTTGGATCCCAGCACCCAAGTTGGGCAGCTCACAACTGCCTGTAACTGCAGCTCCAGGGAATCCATCTTCCTCTTCTGGCTTCCATGGGCACCCATACACACATCATACATTCAATGCACACACGTGCACAACTCACACACACACACAAATAATAAGTAACTAAATAAATAAATGTTGTTGTTGTTTTAAGGGTACTTTCACTGGATTTTTCTCCAGCTTTGTCTTGTGGTCCAGAGAAGAAAATATGCATTCCCCTAAACTCCTGTTAGTGTCTTTCCTGCCCTGAATCATCCTTGTATGCATGCATCAACCTCCAGAAGCATTCGCACAACCGCACATGTCTAGAGCATCAACGCCTTCTGTGCACTTCTCCCCTCCATCTAAAACTAGTTTAAATCACAGCTGTAGAATTTCAATAGGCAACAGATACGTGATTATGCTACCAAATTCTGCACCTTGGCAAACACATGACCCCCTTCCCTCTTGAACTACCTGATCCCTCTTTATACACCCTTCTTCTCTGTACTTTTCATACAATATCAAAACAGAAAAATGCTTTATTTTAAAGTCTACTTAAAGAAAAAGGGCTCATGCTCACTAACACATGTAAATACTGTAAAATTCACTCACAGCATACTAGAGTGACAGGGTGACCAACTATAATTACTCATCTGTAACTATGACCCCATGGCTAGCTTACGAAAAGAGTGCCAGGTTTTCAGATTTTAAGAGGAGCAAAAAAAAAAAAAAAAACCAAAAACAACAAACAAACAAAAAAACTGATCGCCACTCTTCCTTCATTATTTCTCCATTCTAATCTGTTTTCTCTTTCTAATAAAATTATTTCATGGACTCGTTGACTTGTGTTCATCTGTTCTTCCCCATCTCAAGTCTGAAAGATGCACACCCGACTACATCTGCAATTGCCGCACCTCCAATTACTAAACATTGCCACATTTATTAAGAAATAGACTAAAGAAAATGCAGTGGACAAGAAAGACTGTTTTGTTAACAGAAACAAATTCATAGCACTAAAACTACCAAGGGCACGGCCAGGAGCGAAGTATGAAGTGTGGCACATGTTAACCGACCCCATCCAGTATTTTCAACATTTCAAGAAACTCCAGTGCCAACAGGAAAAATCAGAATTTAATAAAAACCAAAATTTAATTTTCTCCCTCTTAAAGGCCAAAAATTATACCGTACCAATTACAGTTACATTTGGTACATCTATGACCAACAACTTTTGGTACATCTTTATAACTAGAAGTTTATTTTTATGTGTACTAAAAATCGTACGTAGGCGTAACTAAACTTAACTCTACTAACGTAGGCTTAGCTCTACTAAAAAGGCAGCTGAATGGGTCAAATCTATATTTTTATCTCATTAAATGAAAATAGTGAGCACTACTCAGGGACAGAGAGGTGTTCAAGCAAGAGACGCAACACAAATGTACAGAGTGTTGCATTTTATGGCTCTGTCATATAGGAAAGCATGCAGTTGTTACTTAAGATTCTCAGGCACAATTCCCAAACAATGGGACATGCACATACACACCCATACAAACACACAGAGAGAAGGAGAGTCAACAAATATTCACAAATGACTTAAAATGTAACAGAATCTTAAATATGTAGTAAATGTTTAAAACCTGTTATTTTTATCTACCTAACATCTATTCACAGCCCTCGATATTAGCAAAAAAATAAAATAAAGCAAATCCTTATTATTAAAAAGAAAAAGCTTCAGTATAGGAGCCAAAGCAGAGAACATAAAACGCAGCTGTGGTGGCATACCTGTGGCCCTCACTTCCCGACAGCAACACTGTATTCTCTTCTCCAGAAGAAAACTGGCAGGAGTCACTTAATCTTTGTTCACTTGTCTCCAGCTCGCCCATTATCCACTCAGGTAACTTCTCCGAGCTTGAACTTTTCGGTTGTGCTGGATTTGGTTCATCAAAATAGATGGACTAGTTTTAAAAAAATCAGAGAAATCACTCTTATAAAATGTACTATAAAGAAAATTTATAATTTTCCATACATTTTTAAAGTTTGGCAAAAGCTTTTAAAATATCCTATTTAAATTCTATTACAAATATATAAAACTTATCACCTAGTATATAATAAATTATGAAATATTAAAGTAAGGTAGTTAATATAGTTACATTTCAGTTAGGTTCTACTATATAAGAAACCTAATGGACAGTAAAATTATATGGCAGATAAACTGGGAATACTTATTTATATAAGGAAGTGATATTAACTTTTTGGCAGTGTTTCTCAACCTTCCTAATGCTGTGGCCCTTTAATATAGTTCCTCATGTTGTGGTGACCCCAACCATAAACTCACCTTATTGCTACTTCATAACTGCAATTTTGCCATTGTCATGAATCATAGTGTAAATAATCTTGAAAACAGAGGTTTACCAAATGAGTTATGACCCACAAATTGAGAACTACTGCTTTAGGTTTAAATAGAAAACTTAAAAATTATACCCTACTGTACTTCTTCCTGTAATAATCAATCTGCACACGTGTGCACATATTATACACAAAATCAGTATTTGGGTAGCCACAATTAAAACGTGCTAGAAATGAAAACTGAAATTAACAACCCCTCGGTGAGGTGGGAACTACAAAACAGAGACATTGGTTCCAGCCATACTGCTCACTCCCTAGAAGGCCAACACAAAGTTCCAGGCCTCACTATCCTTGTAAAATAGAGTCCTTCCCTACAACTCAAAAATTGACTGTGAATGGAAAAATATGGCACAGTATATTCATATCTCAGCATCTCCTGTGCTTCATAAAATGCTCCATTTTAGACACTGAAGTGACAGTTGGCCATTAGTTTGAATGAGCTAGTCTGCATAATATGCTCTGGAGAAAACTTTACTTGTGTAACAATTACCTAAGTCTACACAGAAGTCCTCCAGAGGCTACTCTTCAGGAAATGGTGACCCCTGACCCCTCATCTGAAATAGAATGGAGGATGATTTCTTTTTTAATGAGATACAGTTGTCTTGCTCACACACTGCTTCTCTTTCCATGGCCTGAGTTACCTGCAGTCAGCCATGGCCTGATACAATAAATGGAAAATTCCACACATAAGTTTTAACTTGGGCATTATTCTAAGTTGTAATAAACTTTCAAAATCTCTGCTGCACTCTCTCTAGCGAGACCTAATTGCACAGTATATACTACTACGCTGGCAAGTTCTATGTCACTTGATACAAGCTGGAGTTACTTGGGAAGAGAAAACCTCGACTGAGACTGCCGCGTGGGCAAGCGTAGACGACACTTCCTTGTGGTTGATGTGGAAGGCCCTGGGCTGGTGGCCCTGGGTCCTGAACAAGCCATGAGGAACAAGCCAGTAGGCAGCATACCTCGATGGGCTCTGCTTCAGTTCTGCCTCCAGGTGCCTGTCCTGATTTCCCTCAATGACAGACTGTGATATGAAAACATGAGCACAATAAACCCTTTCCTCCCCAATATCACAGCAACAGAAGCCCTGCCTAAGGCAACTACCTACTTACAGCCACTTAGTACTGTACAGGACAGCACGAACAATTCTATCCTGTGTGCTGTTTTGGGAATCTGTGGGGGAAGGAGGTAGAAGCTTCACAGATAATTAGGGAGCCTGATGCATTCACTCTAATATCTAACTAAATGCATAAAGCCTTTCCCTAGTACTGCTGATCTTGGCCTAAGCAGATGTATGATACTTCTTTTACAATGGATAACAGCATTAAAAGTTCCCGCATCTCCACCAAAAGAAGGAACTATCCTCTGGTGTATAATATGCTGTGTCACTTTGTTTAGTAAATTGCTAAAATGTAGACAAATTCTATATTTTATAATCATATTATTTATAATTATTCTATATTTTATAATTATATTTTTTATTTTATAATTATTTTGAGTAAATAAATATATGTATATACACACACATATATATACATACATACATATATGCACACATACACACATACATATACACATATATACATACATATACACACATATATATGTACATATATATACATATATATATATGTATATATGTTATATATATATATGTACGTTATCTGTCCAGGCAGATATCATACTCACAAACCCACACAAACCAAGAGGCAAGTCTATGTTTATGAGGAGCAAGACAGGGACAATTCATCAACCAGCCATAAAGTGCGTGCCTCATAACAAAGCTGATATAATTAGATCAGCTATAGAAAACCACTTTTAAAATCTAACTTACTGTTATCAACAGACTACAAAGGAGCTTCTAAAAGCCATTAAACTGATGTTAAATAATATATATGAAAGAATTAATAAACAAGAATTTACTGAGACTTAAAAAGAGTCAAATTTGAAAATTAGTAAAGGTCAATTTTAAGGTTCGTTTTTATAAAAGGGAATATAAGTGAATAAAATGTAACAGAACAATGTTTTCTATTGAAATTGGGGAAAATGAGAATGAGAAAAGTTTTAGCTTATGTATTATCCAGCGCATTTAACAGTATTACTGTCATTCCCAAGGGGTGATAAATCATACTCACTCTTAAAGAAATGAACCTAATACATGGTGACTGACAGCACCTACCATATAGGATGGTAATGTCTTCAGCGTTCCCGGCTCGGGGCGGTGTGTAAAGGGGCCTTCGAGGACTCCTCGCTGCAGCATGTGCAGTAACAGCTTTGCATACAGGTTCCGATTCTTCCTACCCACGACTCCTGCACCTGTTCCGGAGGGCTCGCACAGCTTTCTGATCCAAAGAGCACACCTCTGCCGTTCTGTAAGTACACGAGATCTATGCAAAACCTGATATTTCAATGATAATATATTAAATTACAAAGGCCTATGTCAGTATCCCCTGTAATCTAGACCAAGCTTCAGGCAACTTCTCTAACGGGACCAGTTGTAAATGCTTCAAGCTTTCTGGACCATGTGATCTCCGCCATAGCTTACTCTAGCCCCCTACTGAAAGGCACTAATAAACCACAGGCGAGCAAATGCATGGCTACATTTCAGTAAAATGTTATGACAACAAAAAAGTGGGTGTAGGCTGGAGAACAGACTGTATACTTCCAGTCTACAATTTAACTTTATTAGTAGTTGTAGTTGGGTAATACAAATGTGCATACATATTTTCATAAAAATAGGATTCCTAGAATCTGTCTTTGAGAGTAAATTAAAATAAAATCGCTGAATACGTTCAGCTTTTAAGTAAATTTTTGTTGTAATTTTGCACCAATTAAATAACTTGACACACTGAAAAGGCCATTCCTAACTCCTAACTGCACAATCATAGAAAGATAAAATGCAACCTCTGACTACCAACCAGTACATATTAGCTCCAAAACTAAACCCAAACATTTTATCTATTAAAGCCAATAACTTCAAGGGATTTGTAGTTGATTTAAGATTTTATTTTACTATCTCTAAAATAATTGAGTACTTTTCATGTGTAATTTCATGAAATAATTATCCTTTTAAAAGAATCTACCTAAAAATGTAGCGCAGTTTAATCCACATATAATGACCCACTGAGTGTATTATCCTGCTGGGACACAGGATTTTTAACTCTCACGAACACTACTCTGATACTTTTATCAGTCTAACTCAATTTGTGGATTATATATATATTATACAAATCACTAATCTCTTGGCTTATGAAGGCCATATTCATTTATTGTTTTGCCTACAAAAAAAAAATCACTAAGGCTGGATTTACTATTTTATAATCTCACTACAGGTATAAGAGGTAGGCCTTTTTAAAAAGTGTGTATTTTTGCTTTGAAAATTATATGATCACTAAGCAAACTTTAATATCCAGTGTATTTATACAAAAAGAAAATACAAAAGTGGAACTGATAAGCCTGAGCAAATAGCTGAAAAATATGTTTTTTCTTCATGTCTTATAGCAAACTGATGTCTACATTATATTCAATGCACACACTACGGTATAACTTGATTAACAGAGAGCTTGTTCTCTACTTAAAGTGGTAGAAAAGCCCACTGTCAAAGGTAGATTTAGCTGTAAGACTAGATGAGCTGGAATAAATTTCTAGTTCTTAAATAGGATATGAGTTCCTACATGTTCACTGTGAAGTAGTAAAAAGAGGGCCATGAATGTTAAATATAGACCATGTCATATTTAAGGTTATATTTACACAATTCTACATATCTAAAATCTATTTTTAAAGGAAGACAAAATAAGAGAATGTGGTAAGACGGGAGCCTGCAGAACTGTCTTCTGAGAGGCTCCACTCAGCAAAGGATGGAAACAGAGGCTGAGACTCACAGCCAAGATTAGGTGGAGCATAGGGAGCCTTGTAGAAGAGTTGGGGGAAGGACAGAAGAACCCAGAGGAAACAGGAGCTGCACAAAAAGACCAGCAGAGCAAACTAACCCAGAGCAAGGGGGACCTATAGAGACTGAAGCACTAATCAAGGACCATGCATGGACCAGATCTAGGCCCCCTATGCATATATACCAAATGGGCAACTTGGTCCTCTTGTGGGTTTCCTAGTAAGTGGAGCGGGGACTGGCATGGACTCTTGCCTGCTTTTCGATCACTTCCCCCTGGTGGGGCTGCCTTGCCAGGCCACTGTGGAAGAGGATGTGCTCAGTCCTGATGCAACTTGAAGCTCTGGAGTGGGTTAGTAGGGTGTCGGGGAGCTTTTCCTGAGAGGTAGAGGAGGGGACGAAGGAGAAAGGAGGGAGGGTAGGACCAGGAGAAGAAGAGAATGGGGATTACATACGATTAAGATGTAAAGTGAACAAATGAATAAATAGAGTTAGAAGTTTGTTTGTTTGTTTTAAGGCAATGAATATCAGAAGAGGATGTGATATAGATGTATCCCTACATACTATTTGAAATCATCAGGAGTCAGCCATGGATGTGAAGAAATGGAACTTGAAGCCATGAGATCTGAAATGTGACAGAGGAAGAAAGGAAAAGCTAAGAATCAACAAGATAAGAAAAGAGGCAGAAGAAGACAGTTCAAGAAAAGGCTGCAGCCTCCAGAACGATAACTGAGCAGAGACTGCATTCTTTCTCTGCACACTCTGTCTCTCAGTGCAGTTCCATGTAATAAGTCTGTGGCATTACGTCAGCGCCTCACTTCAGATCTAAAGTCCACTCAGACATCTCATGGAAATGAGAACTTAGAAGAAATAAATGCCATAGCTTCTTGGCCCCACTCCACACCCCCCTTTATTCATTACCTACCAAATCTGAATTGCCCTCACAGTCAATAACATGCCCCTGAAGCTTAGATGGTCACCTTGAGCCCCTAAATTCTATGCAGCTACCCTCTGAGCCCTTAAATATCTGTAAGTTGCTATTACGAAACAAAGATTCTCATTTCAAATATAAAAATAAGAGGACAGAAATGAGAAGCACGGAAGCAGCAAAAGTCTTTCACAGTTGATCTTATCAGTTAATCAATCAAAGGTTAAAAGAGGCTTCATGAAATAGAAGTCATTTCCAAAGGAGGAAGAAAAGACAAAGTGAAGAAGCGGAAGTATCTAAGTCGTGACATATGACATAAAGTAATGCCAAAGCTTACAGAACACTATAACTAAATTTTTATTTAGCCTAGAACAGCTCAAAGTAAACAATCAATGGTACAAAATAGAATTAAGGACATTTTTCAAAAGGGAGTTTTGACTTTATTTCTGTTTCCACAGTTAACTTGTGTGACCGTTGATCTTGACTGAAGGTATTCAGAATCACCATGGAGAGGCCTGTCTGGGTGTGTTAGGAGGGCGTCTCCAGAAAGTTTTAACTAGGAGGGAAGAGCTACCCTGTACGTGTGCAGCACCATTCCAGGGCCTGGAGGGCCCGGGCTTAACAAAGAGGAGAAAGCAATCTGAGAAGCGGCAGTCCTCGCTCTCTGCTGCCTGGCCGCAGACTCAACATGGCCAGCTGCCTCAAGGCCCTGCTACTGTGTCTTCCGCACCCTCCAGCTGTGGCCCAAAACAAGTTCTTGAGTTGCATCTGACAGGTACTTTGTCACAGCAACGACAAAACAATTAATAGCTAATATTAATGGTTTGATTAAATATTATTTTTAATTTTAAGAATCTAATTTCAGCTAGATATGGTGGCACATGCCTACAATCCAAGTACTGGGAAGGTTGAGACAGTTAGATTGCTGTATGTTGGAGGCTAACCTGGGCTACATAGTGAACACCGGTCCAGCCAGGGTTACATAGCGAGAACATCTCAAAAACAAGAGTCTAATTTCAAACAAAACAATCTTACCTGACCTGTGGGGCAATCTTAGAACAAAGGGCTTCATATCTACCACAAAGTGATCAAATTCAGCATCCAGCTTCTCCCATTTTTCTTCTTCACTTCCCGTTTCCATAATCCTATTGGTAAAACAGTTAAAAAAATTACACATCAAGTATCTGTATCAGGAAAGCCATGAAACTATGATAAAATACGTTAAAGAAAACTTGTCAATTAAATACAGTCCTCCTTAAATTGACTGCTAGATTCAATGAAATTCCAATCAAAACTCAGGCATATTTGTTCCAAATATGAACTAGCTGATTCTAAAATTTATATGAGAAGGTAAAAGAACAAGAGCCGTGGCAACAATGCTGAAGAAGCATGAAGTTGGAGGGCTAACAGCACCTTATTTTAAGATGTGCTATAGTAGGCAAGACATTATAGTACTGCCTAGAGAACAAATAGATCAAAAAAGAAGAGAACAGAAACACAAAAATGAAATAATACAAATATGGACCTGTGATTTTCAATAAAGGCATAATAAAAGAGAACAATTTTTATAACAAGCAATGCTGTAGCACTAATGTTATGTTATACGTAAATTAACTCCAAATGAATAGAGGACCGAAGTGTAAAGTCTAAAAAATGAAAATAAAGGAAATGATCTCCATGACTTGATTAAGGTAAAATTGAATCATCCACACAATAAAACTGATACACAATATTGGACTTGACACGCGCACACAATCCTGCAAGCAAGCTCTGATCTGTGAAGACTCTATAAAGATAGTGAGAAAATAAACTAAAGATTGGGTGAAAATGCTTGCAAATCCTTAAGTCATAAACCACTTCTATCAATAGCACATGAGTGGCTGGGAAAGCACGGCTCAGTGCTGTGTGCTGTGAGGCCCTTGATTCAACCTCCAACACAGAAAAAGTATTAATAAAGAAAAAGTATTAATGAAGAAAATATGAATAACTCACCATTATCCATAATAAAAGCCATCCAATAAAAAAAGGGACAAAAATCAATCTCTCTGACAACAATTAACTGAATATTTCACAAGGAGAGTGGTAACGATGAAAACAAATAATGAAGGATCTGAGGTGACGGTTATGCCAACTACCCTCTTGTGATGCAGGTTGTATACATGGTTTTAAAAACATTCCTGAATCCTTCAAACATGTCCAACTTCTATGTGTCAGTTAAAACTGTATTTTAAAACACCAATCCCTTCACCAAAGAAGAAATACGGATAATGGCAACTATGCGCATAAAAAGCAGCTCAACGTTACCAGTCACTAAAGAAATGCAAACCCAAACCATATTGCAATACCCCAACAACACACGAGGCCAGCCAAAACTAAGCCAAGCAATGTAAAGCGCTGGTGAGGATGGAGAACACAGAACTCTCCTGTGTTGCTGGCCAGAATGTGAAATGACAGCGACATTCTGGAAATAGTTTGGCAGTGTCTTTCAAAGCTAATCATGAACTCACTAGATGACCAAAGAAATTCCAAAGGAAATGCAAAATCTATACCCACACAAAAAGTGTGAAATGTGGTGCTTAGAGTAACTTCTTTAAAAATCAAGTGGAAACAGCCCACAAATTGTAATACTAACACATACTAACATTGCAGTCAGCAACAAAGAATGACTTTTGATACACAAAACATGGAAAAACTACAGTGAAAGAAGCCCTTTTCAGAAGGCTACGTGCTAAGTCCATTGATATGGGGTCCTAGAAAAGTGAGAACGGCCAATGGTTCATAGAGGCCATCAGTGAAGGCCAGTCTGAGAAGAGAGAGCAAACAGCAGAAAAAACAAACTGCTAGGGGTATTTAACTGTTCTGCACATGAGCTGAATGAAGTAGAGACCGAGAAGCCTGTGCATACATAAAAGTTCACTGAACTGTATACCAAAATCTTAAAATTCTTCAATTTCCCCTTAGACTTTTAAAAATAGTAATTCTTTATATATACTGAATATGTAATTGAAGTAAGATTGGCAAAACCAGAAACAAAGTATCTTATGTTAAAATATGCCCAGGATAGCTCAGTTACTAGAGTTTACTGCTTCAGCATGAGGATCTGAGTTTGGATCTTCTGCACGCTCATAAAAAATCCAGGCATGGTCATGTGTGTCTGAAATTCTACTGCAGCGGAGGCAGAGGCAGGTGGGCTCCTGGAATTCATGAGCCACCCAGTCTACCCAGAAGGTGAGCACCAGGGTCAGTGAAAGACAAGGTGAAGCTGGGTGTGGTGGCGCACACCTCTGATCCCAGCACGTGGGAGGCAGAGGCAGGTGGATCTCTGTGAGTGTGAGGCCAGCCTGGTCTACAGAGTGAGTTGAGGACAGCCAGGGTTACACAGAGAAACCCTATCTCGAAAAGAAAAAAGAAATTTTAAAAAGGCTATGGTAGAAAGAGGTTGAAATCTAGCCTTTACACACATGCACACAGACACTTGCACACGTGCGCGCACCTACATACACACACACACACAGACACACACACACACACACCCCTCCATCCCTTACCTATCACACAAGCCATTACTCAGAATACTCAGTGCGTACCTTGGTTACAGGGTGACCTCAAGGCAAGCCTGGACAATTTATACATACTCTGTCTCCAGAAAACAAACACATAGAAAAGCCAGGTTCATAATCCAGTGCTTGCCTAGGCTGCCTGAGCAAAGGTCTTCACAGATCTTCGGACGGATATGCGCAGCAATGGCAGCAAGGTAGCTAGACTTACCATGCTCACGTGTCACTGCCCTCACCACACACTTGTCTCTCGTTTCCGTATTTTCTATGTCTGGGAGAGGCTCTCGGAAAGCAGGGGTCGTGTCTTACACCTTAGGAAGCACCTCACATATTATCAACACGTGTTAGAGACTAAAGCACTGACTGCTTAACAAACAGACCAACGTTTAACTTTTGCATGAAGAATTGCCTTTTGTCAGTTGGGTGGGGTGAGTACAAGTTTAAATGGGTGTGTACACTGTCATGTGGAATTCTGCATGTGTGCTTTCATCACGACCCACATTAATTTTTGGGACAGGGTCTCTCACTAAACGTGGAGCTCATCAGTTCAGCTAGGCTTTCTGTCCAGTGAGAACCGGCAATCTACCTGTCTCTAGGATTACAGATGCACCACCCTACCCGACTTCTACTTGGGTGCTGGGGATCCAAACTCGGGTCCTCGCACTTGAACTGCACCTTACAGATGGAGCCCCTCCCCAGCCCCTAATAACTGGCTTTTAATGCTTTCATGCCCAACACCAAACAGGCCTTACAGAACAGGAATATTACATGCTCCTAATTCCATCTGCCAAAAACGGCCTTTCTACTGCTCTCTGTGTATCAGAGTAAGGAATATGTTTTCAATTTTAAGATATAATTAAGATAAACATTATGCAGGGTTGGACAGGTAGTTCTGTGGCAGAGTATTTGCTTAGCTTAGGTGAGGCTCTGGTCTCAAATCTCAGCACTACAAAAATAATGAACTAAATTAATTAATGAACTACTTTTTAAAACCTAAATAAATAAAGCAAGTAACTTGATTTAAATTAATTTTATGACTATTTGATTTAGAGAGTTGTGTTTGGTTTGTTTCGTATTAAATTCCTATGATACATTCAGTTATGTGCTTTGTAAAAGTACGGAATGATATATAAAGCATAGTATGATATCATACTGGGTATTAGATAATAAAGTTGAAAACAACTATTCAAATGGACAAATAAACCGATGAATACTACTAGATCCAAAACTTTAAGCACAGCTCTGCCCCTTAATGTACTTCCAGCCTTGCACATCATGCCTACGGACTCAAAATTTTGCCTAAGCCTGTTGTTTGCTGTGGCCAAAGTAAAAAGACTCTTCATAATCACTAATTCTCAATAAATCCTTTGACCTTTGTGGAATCGTTACAGTTTGATATTAGAGGAGACTAAAATTCAGCAGGTACATGACTCACCAAAACCATGTAATTAAGCAAATCCCAGATTAAAATTCTGAAATCCCTAGCTCTTACGTCCATTATATCTGACCACTTGGCCCTTTACACTAAGTCAGCAATATCTCCGACTAATAATAAAATTAATTTGAATAGTAGGCTATCTGAATTGGTATCAGGACATGTAATAATCGAAACAGGTACATATTCTAAGAACAGGACTGGGAGACAGCTCAGTCAGGAAAATGCTCACTGAGGAACCTGAGCTCGGTCACCAGGAAACACCTAGGAAGCTAGGCCCAGGGGCGACACCTGCAATTCCAGCACTGGGAAGGCAGAGAGCTCCTGAGAGCACACTCGCCAGCCAGCTAAGCCTCATCAGGGAGCCCAGGTCATAGTAAAGAGACTGTCTACAGCAGGCTGGACAGCTCCTGAAGACAGCTGAGATCAAGCTGAACCTGACCTCCAAATCTGTGTGCAGGCGCGCAATACTTAGTCAAAGCTAAGACCGTTTTCCCTTGCCCTTATTTATTCAACAACACGCAGACACGCGTTTGTGAATATAAACACTTCGATATTTGAAGAAATCCCTGCTACACAAAGTATGTTGTGCACACAAATAATGTCTAGCTACTGAAAAGGTATTTTATACTATCAATCAGAACTTCAAATTTAAGCTCCTAAAACTGAAAAATAAGGGCCAGGCATGATGGTCCTCATGTCTTTGATTCCACCACTTGGGAGACACAGGCAGGCGTATCTGTGAGGCCATCCTGGTCTGCATTATATGAGTTCCAGGGCAGCCAGAGCTACGTAAAAAGACCATGTCTCAAAAAGTTGAAGATGAGAAATAAGTAAAGCTCTGTCTGGTTTAGGATTAAATTTCTCATAGTACGGCTTTCACTGATACCAATTACAATGTGACTGCCACATACACAACCTACCTCAAAAGGAAAAAAAAAAAAAGTTGAGTGGCTCTCCTTGTATTTATACCCTGTATTTATCCTGTGTCTTTTATGAAACTCAGTAGGGTTGCCTTTTTACAAAATGTTTCTTTGTGGACTGCGATGAATGGGCTAAGACCTCAGGGTGCTTAGCTGCCGTTGAAGTCAGCAAAACAAAAGCAAGCCACCAATATTAACAGCCTTAGAAAAAGAGATAACTGCTAAGCTAAGAACGCACTTCATACGTAAAGCACGCACCCTGCCACACACGACATATTCCTGAAAGTTGTGTAAAATGCTTCTTGTTCCATCAAATTACAGGTTAAATATATGTGGAGAGTAATACTGAAGACTTGAAATGTCAACATATCAACAAGGGATACCCGAGCACGATCTTTGCAGGCTGCACATCTGGATTATGATTATGATTATGATTATTTGACAGGCGCTTTCCCAGAACACATCCAGCACAGCTGTGGGCATTAGAACTGTATCCCGGTGCACCTAACCTGACAGGAACTATCTCCATTGTCCGCTCCAGGTCGGAAGCCGGGGCTTAGTGGGGTGAAGGGCCTGACCTGAGTCCGGTAGGCAACCAGCTGGACCTGAATACTGCACAGATTATCGTGCCCTCTACTTAACTGAGCACTGGGGTCAGCTCACTTGCATTTAGCTTGCCTCTTCTACCTTACTTTCACTTATCTTTAAACAATAAAGACAAGTCCTAAAAACACCAGCATATTCATGAGGGGGACCGCACACGGCCTGTAATGACTCAGCAGGCAGAGGCAGGTGGATCTCTGCGGATTCGAGGTGAGCCAGGTCTACACAGTAAGACCCCGTCTCCAGCACAAAACAAGGGCCAGCTGTAGTACTTTTTGTTCTCTGCATCACTACAAGCACGGCAGGTCTCCCCCAAGGTCCTGGACTCCGAGCTGGGTCCTTGCAAGCCCCCTGTTCATCACGACCTTCTCGGAGGCAGCCTGCAGTCCAGGTCTGCTCCTCTGACAGATCTGAGGGGACCTGAGAACCACAGCGGTCCGGTTCCCTGCAGAGGTCACTTCCTCGGCGGCTGGGAGCCCCGGGAGCGGCGCCTGCGTGACCCACCCAAGCCCAGGCCGCTCTCCTGCCTCCTCCAGGACACAGATCCCTTCTCACCACCGCAAGCCCCGACCTCAGGGCTCCGGGCCCCGCCACGCCGCCTGACCAAACTTTACTGAGAACTTTTCCCTGGCCATCGCTTGGCTGCTGACTCGGCCAGCGCGCGCGCCACACAGGCCCCAAGCGCGGGTCCGGGCCTGCGGGCGACGCCCCTCCCCGAGCCAGCTCGCACGCGCGGGGGCTCCATCCCGCGCAAAATTCCACTCGGAACCTGGGAGTAGGGGTGGGAAGGGATTAATGATGGGAGAAACGAGAGAGAGAGAGAACCTGGCGCCCCCACAAGCAAGCCGTCCGCTCGGCCGCCGACGCCCGCCGCCACAGACAAACGGTTTCAAATCCTTGCGGGCCGCTGGGTCGCGGCCGTCCAGCAAACCGGGGGCGGGACTACGGAGCTCGCCCGTCCCGCCCCCTCGAGCGGCCGCGGGCGCGCGACGCTGTTGCCATGGCGACGCTCGGGGTCCTGTCTATCACTGTCCCTCACGTCCGAGGGGGCGGGAATTTCCGCCCTTCTCCGGCCGTCCTCAGAGCGAGGGACGGAAACTTCCCACCTCGCTCTTCCCCCACCGTCCGGGAAAAGGGCCGCGGCGAGCCGCCCCGTTGCTATGGTAACTGTCCAGCCCACTGCGCAAGCGCCGGGCTCGCGGCGTCTCCCGTCCCCGCCCTTAGCCGTTTACAGGTTTAATCTCCTGTGACCCCCGGACTGCAGTGGGGACGCTGTTGCTTCCTGCTCAGTAGCCTCTGAACACTTCGGAGACTGAGGGGAAAGGACGAGAAAAACTCGAAGGCGATGAGCTACTGGACAGGGTCCACAGGAAAGCCCGTCCGTTGCTTGGACGGACGTCACCGTTGAGTAAGTCGTGAAGCAGGCGGACTCCACCCCTCTTAGCTCCCATTACAGAGGAGAATGAGGGTGAATTATTCGGGACAGGGGCACTGTCTTTTCGTTCCTCATTTGGAACCATCGTGAGTCCGAAAACACGAACCCCGCCAGGTCCTAAACTGAAGTGAAAAGGCTTTCTGTTTACCACTCGGTACAAAAAAGTACCATCAAGTGTAGGGCATGTGTTTTTGTGCTTCCCGGGAAGTGTCATGGACCTCAGGGCAAGACTACATTGCTGTGATGGTGGGTTTTGTTTTGTTTTGTTTTGTTTTGTTTTGTTTTTGATCTTTTATGTTTCTGGAAGCTCTCAACTGTGTGCTTTAAAATACCAACAGAAACAAAATTTAAGTTGCAAAAGCACTCCCTTGTATGAAACCCAGTTTTTCATCTAAGTTCACAACAGAATTCCTTCTGCGGAATCTTTGTGGTGCACTCAGCGTGGTGCCAGACCTAACCTTAGTACAGCTTAAAACACCTTCTCCATTTTCCTTAAGGTTATTTGCCGCTTCCAGAAGGAGACCGCACGCTTTTCAAGGTGCCCCTTTGGAATCCACCTCACTGGAAGAAACACCAGTAGCTTCATTGTTTCGGAGGCCATTTGTGCTGCAGCAAAGAAAGAATGCAGAAGTCTTTCAATGATATTTCGTTTCCAAAAGCATATTCGAACACACGGCTGAGGAATGACCCACAATCCAGGTCATTTGTACTGAGAATCAGACTGTAAAACCTACGTATGCAGAAATGAAACTGGTCTCAGAGACCACACGTAGGTTTTACGTGGAGTTTACTGATCAAAGGATGCAGATTTCCAAGTAGGAACAAGAAATTCAAGAGTCCAATGTGGTGACAACATGCAATAGCTGTGTATTTCTACTTTTGGAAGGGCATTTTGTTAAATTATATTTATGTACAGAAAATTTAGCAGTGTACAGATTGACGTAGTTCAATGGCAAGTTCTTTGATCTTTGCCTTTTCCAGCTTGGAAATGCAAGCCATAGATTTTGAACCCAGAACATTGTCAACCCTAGTGGTGGTGTGTCTCATTGTATCTGTCGTTGTAATTGGTCCTGATAGGGTCCGCCATCTTAGCCGGAGGAGCGATTTTGTCTTGCGAAGACAGCAGTGGTGCTCGATTTCCTGCGGACCGGCCACCCCAGCCTGGACTTCTCTTTGGTGATACAGTAGGGGATCCCCATCTCGCGAGATAAGGCAGGCAGGAAGCCACCAACTCACTGGGATCTACTTCGTGTGCAATCACCAAGAGCAGAGCTTTCTTTTTCTCTACCAAGTTACTGACCATATTAACTCCTGCCAGAAGGACGCCCCCTTTGCCCGCAGCTTTCTTCTCGGCACGGGCTAGTAGCCTTACCTTCTTTTCCTGCTTTGCTGTCTTCCCTACACTCGTGGGTACTCTTAAGCAGCCAGACAGCTGTTTCAGTGACCTGAATCACAGGAGGTGCTTTGAGCCGCTTATAGTGGATGAATCTTGTTGTTGCAGCCGGAGCTGGCGAGGTCTTTCTTGGGGTGAATGTCTTGACCAATGCTTCTTAGGCTTTTCCTCAGAGGATTTGCCACCTTTTTTGGCCTCCTCCTTCATGATGGTGGGACAGGAGCCATCTTTTCCCCCCACCCCGTGACCTTTTTTATTTGGGGCATCTTGCTTGGCTGGAGGACAGTGTGTACATTGTATTCTTGAAAATTCCACTCAAGGCATATTGCTGTGGCATTCTTGTAAAATGGATAAATATGTGAAGTAATGTATATGATAATTTGCTCAAATTAACCAGTCCATGTTGCATGTAGATTTCAAAACACTGTGTGGTGCCAATAAATACATGTGATTTTTAGATATTATATTTAAAAAAAAAGACACAAGGGCTGCAGACATAGATCACTGGGTAACTGAGTGCTTTTTTTGGGCGTGAGGACCATAGTTCAGATCCCTTGCCAGGTGGATGTGGCTCCCATCTGTAATTCCAGCACTCAAAAGACAGGGACAGAATCCCCATAGCAAAATGGCTACTTGCACAAATTGAATGAGCTGTGGGTTCAAATGAGACAACCTGCCTCAATAAATAGTGCAGAGCATGACCAAGGAAGTCTCCCGATTTCAGCACTCAGGCACACACATATCTGTGTGTGCAAACATCGCATGCATATATTTTCCAAAGTGGGGGGAGGAACAAAGAAAAAATGTGATCAAGTCAAGTTCACTGCAGAGGAAATGAGGGAAGAAATTTGACTCCCTTAATATCTACCCTCAAATCTCTCCAAGAATAACTCTTGGAAAATATTAATGTAGACCAGAATTATGATAGCCCACTTTTCTTTCTTCAATGTTTTGAGGTCAAGGTTTCAGAAAGAAAACTTGAATGTGAATTTGGCTCATCATTTTGAAGGACTCTTAATGGTAAACACTGAAAAATACAAGACACAAAAACAAATGTTACTGACTTTGAGTCACTGTAGTGGACTATCAATTATTTCCATTCTTTATCAAGAATAAGAATTAGCTATAAACAGAAATGGAGTTTTAACTAACAATTTTCAACTGCATTTTTTTTTCAGATTTTGTATACATGCTATCATAGATAAATTGCAAAATGCTAAGATGTTCAAAGAAGAAAATTATCACAATTTTACCATTAAAAAGTAATCAGGATTAGCATGTATGCACTTATTCATATGTTCAAATCTCCTATGTATGCATTAGACACTCATTTTAAACATGGCCTTATGATCTCACTGTATGGATATAACATAATTTGCTTAATTTTGTCCTCCAGTTACTAATTCTGGCTCTCACAATATTTCTGTAATAAAAGTCTTCTTGTATTCTCAGTTACTGCTATGTAAGAGATTTATTTCTTCAGGTGTGGTGGTGTGCACTTTTAGTCTCAGCACTCGGAAGGCAGAGGAAGGTGGAGCTCTGTGAGTTTGAGGCCAGCCTGATCTACAACGTGATTCCAGGACATCCAGGGCTGTTACGCAAAGAAACCCTGTCTCAAAAAACAAAATCAAACAAATGAGAAAGAGATTATTTCATGTACGTGTGGGTTCAGGTATGTGTGTGTGTGCGCGCACACACACGTGTGTGGTATGTGCAGAGGTCAGAAATCAGAAGCAGGTGCATTCCTCAATCACTTTCCACCTTCCACCTTACTTTTTGAGACTTCAGATTTGATGTGGTTGTCTGGCCAGCCACCTCCAGGATGCTCTGTCTACCTCCTGCCCCACGCCACACATACCCCCCATACTGGGGTTACAAGTCACTGCATCTGGCTTTTATATGGATGCTGGGATCAAACTCAGGCCCTAGTGCTTTCAGGGCATGCACTTTATTGACTGAGTCATCTCCCCAGCCTATATAAGAGAATTCAATGACATTAAAAAAATAAAAAAAAGCATCATTAAGGCTTTCCCCAAATGACTCTTTAAACTAGTTTTCAAATCTGTAAGACACAAAGTAGTCTATGAAAGTGTCAGAGTCACATTAGCAGCTTTTTGGATCTGTGCAAATTATATCTTTAAAAAAATAGTATTACTTTTTAATTGTCATTTTCTACTCTTTGAAAACGCTCATGTTTCCTATTAGCCGTTTTCAGTCTCCTGGATTCTAGTAGAATCTCTTGTGCTCTCTGTTCATTTTTGAGGAATTCAACATAAGCTAGTGTGGTGGTTTGAATGAGAATAGACCCGTGGGCTCACATGATTCCCAGCTGGAGGACTGTTGGTAAGGATTAGGAGGTGTGGCCTTGTCGGAGGAGGTGTGTCACTGGCGGTGGGCTCTGAGGTTTCAGAAGCCCATGCTGCCAGGCCCAGTCTCTCCGCCTACTGACAACGCTCTTGGCTACTGCTCCAGCACCATGCCTGCCACCGTGCTCCCCACCAGTGTGATGGTGGACTAACCCTCTGAAACCACAAACAAGCCCCAAATTAAAGGCTCTCTTTCATAAGAGCTGCCTTGCTCTCAGAGTCTCTTCACAGCAATAGAACAGTAACTAAGACAGATAGGTTGACAAAGATCTTCTCACATCTAAAAAAGAATTAGCTATCAATAGCTCTATATTCCATACTTTTGTGTAAAGCTGATAGTTTGTACAATCAAATTTTAGTCATGATTCACCACTTTTTTTTTTTTTTTTAGCTTTTCTTACCTTTATCTACCCTCTCCCCTCTTTGCCACCCCTGCCTCTGTTTTTGCTTGTTTGTTTGTTTGTTTGTTTGGCAGTCAAAGCACTTGTAGAAGTCACTTGGTTGGAAGGGTCAAACTCAGGTCATTAAGCTTGTCAGCAAACATTTTACTCACTGAGATATCTTGCTTGTTCCACCATTTTTTATTATTAAACTATTAGAGGGAAATCTTGGATGACTTAACTATCTAGATGGGAAGCAATCTATAAATACTGATTCATTCCTGTGTTAT